GTCTGTGAGCCAGACTAGTTTCGGAGAATTCCACTCCTCATCAGTGACCCTGGACACTACCACCAATGAAATATCAACAACACCAACAACAACATAAGCGTTAATAATGGTTGGAGACGGCTTAAATGGGTAATGAAGAAAAACTTTAATATAAGTTTAGCATAACAGCAAATGTACAACGTTTCGACAAGGTGTTGTCATCATCAGGTACCTCAAAATCCCTTTCTTTCATGACACTCTCAAAGTTATTCTCATTCAAATTATACATATAATTAAAAGTATTATAACCCACTTGCATTATCTTGCATTTATTATAATTAAAACCTATCTGCCATTTATTTGTTCAACTCAATAAATGATCTAAATCCTTTTGTAAATCAGCAGCATCCTCTTTACAGCCAGCAACACCCAAGACTTCAATATCATCAGCAAATTTAAGTACTTTTTTTGACCATTCCTTCGTCTATGTCATTGATGTAAATCAAAAAAAAAAGGGTTCTAAGACTGAGCTCTAAGGTACCACACTTGTGACATTAATCCAGTTTGACTGAACTCCATTTGTAACAACTCTCTGCCTTCTTCCATCCAGCTACTCTTCTGTTCAATTTGCTAACTTATCCCCCACACCTATAGATATTATTTTTACAAGCCTTTTACGCGGTACCTTGTTAAGTGCTTTTTGAAAATCCAGATACATCAAATCTACATCCTTACCCTCATCTACATAAGCAATAACCTTTTGAAAGAACGTCAAAAGATTTGTAAAGCAAGATTTCCCTTAGTGAAACCATGTTGACTATCCAATAAAATTCTAAACTTTGTTAAATGACTTTGCAAAGCATCTTTTATCAGACTTTCCAAAACTTTCCCTACAACTAAAGTAAGACTAATGGGTCTATAATTACTGGGACCATTTTTATTACCTCCCTTGAAAAGGGGAGTTACATTAGATAACTTCCAATCCTCTGGTACCTGCTCATTATTCAAAAACTGACAAAAAAATAGTAGCAATCGATTCAGCTATCCAATCTTTAACCTCATTCAAAACCCTTGAGGAAATATTATCTGGCCCAGGAGCCTTATCTTTATTTAAACTTCCCAATTTTTTCTTAACCAGCTCAAAATTAATGCAGTAATCTTGTTCGATCTCGTTTCCACCTATCAACTGTTCAAGATGTGGGATACCGTTTAAATATTCGCTAGTAAAAACCGAATAAAAAGCTAAATTTAACAACCCAGCCATCTCATAATCATCAGATACAAGCTTTCCTTCATCATCCCTCAAGGGTCCCACCCCATCCTAACATTTTGTTTACGCTTAATTTATTTAAAGAAATATTTACTCTTAATTTTTTGATTTTCAGCAAACCTTTTCTCATACATCTTTTATAATATCATAATTTCCTGCTTCACCAACTTTCTTGATCTTCTAGATCTCCTATCATACCAGTTAATTTAAATTTCTTATGCTTTTCTTTAATTTTATCTCTTAAACTTATTGTGAGCCCACCTGGTTTTTTTTTACTTGCAGCTACCCTTTTCTTTCTATAAGGATTATATTTATCTTGAATATTTAACAATTTTCCACATCTGATCAGTTTCTCCAAATAATTCAGCTGCCCAATTTACAACAGTCGCATCCCTTCAAAATTTGCTTTTTTAAAATTTGTAACTAAAATGTGTGAAAGTGTAGTGCCACCTTGTAAAACATGAGATAAAACTATAAAGTATCATGTGTAAAATGAAGTATTCTGTCAAGTTATAAATTCAAACTAGTGAAAATGTAAATTTTTAATTATTGTATGATATTTAATTTCTTTTTTTATTGATGACATGCATCTAACCTGTTAATGCAGTATACGAGTGGTGGAATGCAGAAACGGGTAATGCAGATTTCCTCCCATCCCAAATACTCTCTTTCTGATCTTTTCCATCCCAACAATTTTACAATATTTCTTGTTACTAGTTTCTGCACTTTTTTACAAGTCGATTTCTATTCTATAGGGAGCCATAGCATAATCTATAGACGTTACTTCTTGAAGCAAGATGAGTCATGACCAGTATACTGCGCGGCGCGGTAAGGAGTATATGGTAGATGATTGGTATAATACTTTGGGCTGCTATCGTGGATCACTTGCTGCTCTAGGTATTAAAAGGCACATCCTAGGGAATAGTGCAGGCTGATCGAAGGCTCACTGTAGTTTACGAGTTACAGCTGATAGAAAATCGACGTTTTTCCGGCCTGTTTTCTAGACGTCAAGAAAGGTTAGTCGATGTTTATTTCAACTGGTAGCTCATGATAAAACACATTGACATATGTACAAAAAACAACTAAATTCACAGTATTTGACAAAAAAAATGTAGTGTTTACGATATTCGTCCTTTTTTGACGGATTCTAGCGTTGTAAGTCCGCAGACATACCGCTGTACCACTGGGGGGCAATATCTGATAGAATTCAACTAATTACCCAAATGTCTCCAAATGAGCACTACATCTGAACAATAATTCTTTCTTGCAAACTGTCAACTATCACTGCATCTGGACAGCATTTGCTTGCAAAGTTATCCACTAGCATTTCATATGGACGGATTTTTACTTGCATAGATTTCAATGGCCCTGCATCTGGGTAGAAATTTCTTACAAATTGTTAACAATCACTTCACTTGGATAATAATGTTTTCAAAGTTGTAAACAATATATGCAGAAAATAATGTCTTGATTTTTTCATCAAGACCGAAATAATGATTCCAATATTTAAAATAAAAAAAAAAAATCACAAAGAATTTCATCTCCGGTTGTTTTATTACTTTTCATGAGTAATACCGTCAGGAATGGCATTGGTTGTTACAATACTATCTTCACCACTTAACGTTTGTTTGTGTGTTTTGAATTTCGCGCAAAGCTACACGAGGGCTATCTGCGCTAGCCGTCCCTAATTTAGCAGTGTAAGACTATAGGGAAGACAGCTAGTCATCACCACCCACCGCCCACTCTTGGGCTACTCTTTTACCAACGAATAGTGGGATTGACCGTCACATTATAACGCCCCCACGGCTGAAAGGACGAGCATGTTTGGTGATACGGGGATTCGAAACCGCGACCAGCAACCACTTAACGATTAGCATAGAACTTCTTTCTTTCACTGTAAAGAAAATGTTATAAAACAACCGAAACAGAATTTTCAGCGGCTTCTAGATATTTCGCTGAATAATTTCAGACAAATTCGTAAAAACTGGTCACAAATTTAGAGTGATCATCCAGCTGGGGAGTATGAACAATTAAACCGAGTTGTTTTTTTTCAGCATTTATTATTATTATTATTAATTCTAATTATTTTAATAATAACTTTGGTTATTATGGAGTTAAATAAATAAAACAATAGTGACCTTGTATAAAATTGTCATTAACTAATTAAAACAACGCGTACATTTAATTACAGTTTTCACCCACAAAGGTGTAAAAATGTGAATCGCACAAAAATATTTATAACTTAAAAATCGACAAAATAACAAAAAATTAACTTGTTTTTTTAAAAAAAAACTTAAGTGAAAATAAAGTTTGTTTTTCACTTAATGAAAGGTAAATAAATTTATATTAAAGATTTGGTTGGTGTTAAGTGTAAAGTTACTCGTGCCGAGAATCCGAATTTTAGCGCCATACGTGTGCAGAATTATCGCCGAGCTATTGCGAAGCATTTGAATAAAGGAAATATTTCCTACAAAAAACTGATCCATTTATTGATTTCCCAGGTTTATCTGAAATATGATTTACAAAATAACGCCAAAAACATTAAGGACAATAAAATACAGCATTAAAAACTAGAAGATGTTTGATTATTTTCACATAGATTCCTGTATTGTTTAATGGACCAACATCTGCAAATCCTATTCGTTTACCGTATAGCTGGACACGGATTCAAGACTATACTATATTAGCTTCAATCCAATCTAAAAACTCTGTCACTCGTGTGTATACACCTGGATAATTAGGTAACGCACACTTCTTTCCAAAGGACACAATTCCCACCAGGTAGAAAAATGTGTCGTTCGCGGGAAGCATCAGTGGACCACCAGAATCTCCCTGTTGGCAACAAAGAATTAATACAAATTATCATAACTTTTATTTCTGGTATTATTTATACTTGTGGAAAAGAAGTGCCTATCAAATATTTAATATTGGTAATGGCCGATCAGAAAGAAGAATTAATCACTATTACAAATTTTTGATCATATAAAACAAAAATGCTTAAAGTAAGTATAGTCTAACGGTATTTTGTTTCTCAAAAATTCTTTATATAAAATTAAACCAATATTTAAATAACGAAAGCTAAATTACATAAGAAGTTTAAAATATTGAGAAATTTATTCAAAAACTACACAATGCATGAAATAATATTTATTATTATTATTATTATAAATTCAGTAAGAGTTAAAAATCAAATATTTTTTGCTTTCGGAAAGACCCATTTTAACACACCTGACAAGCATCTTTCCCACCATTTGCATATCCTGCACACATGTACTTGTCGGTGATGGGTATTTCCTTTTCATATGCTTTTCGACAGTCCTCATGTTTCCAAATAGGTACCTGAACCTCTCGCAGTACAGAACTTGATGGACCATCTGAAACGACCATTAATTATTTGCATCACAGTGACACAAAGTGATTGACTGCAAATATGTTCAATTTCTAAAAATGTGAAACATTAGTAGTAACTTCATAATTGGGGATACAATAACAATAATAACTGGAACTAATAAGAATGCTTAGACTTATGAGTATTTAGATAAAAATTAGTAACCAAAAGCAAAATTACCAATAGAAATTATAAAGATCAAGATGTCAAAAATACGGAGGGCATCATAAAAATGTTAAAATAAAATTCAACTTCAAGACTAAAGCGTTATCGTATATGTATTATATACGAAGTTTTAACGTTCTTTATCAAAAATGTAAAATATCGAGAAAAAGTAATAATCTCCCAGTGCCTCAGTGACAAGTCTGTGGGCGTATAACGCTAAAATTTGGGTTTCGATATCAGCGATAGGTAGTGTGTATCTTTGTGCTTAAATTAGTATAAAATAATAAAACATAATATCTGTTTGTAATCATTGTGTATTTCGTAGTTTCCCGTAAGAGTAACAACAAAAGTCAAACACCACTGCGTTTATTACCCACACCACTATTTAAAGTTTGATGTTAAGTACAAAAGTACATAATGGGTTACCTGTGGTATGTCACTGGTGTCTCTCGAAACCCGATCTTTTGCATTATAGGCCCTCAGATGTCTCGCTGAGCTAACGAGAGCGTCATCTAGAGTAACTCCCATAAAATTTACCATGTACTGCGTTTTTTAACTAATATTCTTTATATTTTAGGATAAGTAGGAAAAATATGTTGAGAGGTTACCATGCATCAGATGTGATGAGTTAGGCCACTTTCGAGGGTTATACTCGTTATAAATACCACATTCTGAAATGTAAGGCGTGGGCACATAAATATTAGTAAACTTTTACAACTGTCTTACCATATGCTACTGTTCCCCAGCCTGCAACATATGGTCTTTTTTCAGCCAAATCTTCGTGTCGTAGATAATTATATGGCAGACATACTGGATGGATTCTTTTGGTAAAAGTAACAGTGCCATCTATCGTCAAAATAGCGATATCATTCTTAAACGTTTTTACTTCAAAATCCTCATGATACTTAACTGACTTGATAGGAAAATCAACTGGATTAGAATCATCATTGGTACTGAATAAATTATGTTCACCCAAACGCACTGAAAAATCCTTCGCGGGCAAACTGAAACGAATAAACACTGACGTAAACAAATGATCCCATCTAATTCATAATTACTTAAATTTAGAATAATGTGTATAGTTATGAAAACCCTGGCTACATAATTTTTTGTATATTTATATTTTGTAGTAGGAGCTTTAAAATACAAGATTTTATCAAGCTTCTGAAGCTGTTTCAGTTAATAAAAAGTCATGTTTTGCTCATTTTTTTTTATCATTTAACAGCAAATCAAAGGCACTTTTTCGTTTTTTTTGTTTTTTTTATTTCCTAGCTTCCAAAAGTAAAAAAAAAAACTTATGCTCTTCTTGTCATCATTTTATTCTTAATAAAATATTTATAACAATTATCAGTAACTCCTTAAAGTACGTTACCTACTTAAACCAGAACAAACAATTAACCCAAAATATAAGGTAGCTAACTTAATATACCAGTTTAACTAGAAATGTGCAATAACACCAACAAACTTAAACAGGTTAGAACGTGTTCATTCAACAGTTGGATACTATCGCTATTATCTATATTTTCGGCCATAATCCTAATAACATCTCCTAAGTTCTACTAGCTCTGCTGTGGAAATTTAAGTTAGCACTGAGGTAATGAGCCGGAAAAATAAAGAAACATATGAAAAACAAAATTATGTATTTTTTTTACAAGCAGACCAATGTACTAGCAATTTTTAAAAAAGCTGTTGAAACCAAAATTCTTGGATAAAATGTGAGAAACCGGGCATATTTTTACTAACTAGCAATAAAAGTAACTAGCTACATACCACGTTAAAAAATGAAACAGAGTAAAAACCACTCACAAAGCTGTTTTTTCTTTATTTAAACCACAGTGTGTTGCTGTTATCACGTGCTTGTTGGTAACTAGGGTGCCACCACACTCAGGCCTTTTGATACCTCGTTCGTCGAAATAGATGACAGCCTGTTTCAAATAAATCACACACACGTTACAGATCCTGCATATACTAGTACATAATGGTTCATTGTACTCCTTATAACTTACGTATTTAAATTATAAACTTGGGCTATTACCATCTTTACACAATACTAAACAAAATTATAATTTAGGGAAACATGTATCTTGTCTGTCGGGGGTTGCACTTAGCAGTAATTGTTTCTCAGGGTCAGCTCTATGTAGCTTATCCCGGGTACAATTCTTTGATCGGCTAAAAATTTTATATCACTGAAAGTGCAAATATTGGAAATGTTGTTTACAAGTAAGTTTTGTAAACAACTTTTCCAAAATGAATTCGATAATCCTTAGTTTTAGCCTATGACAACAACTCTATTTTTTTGTCAAATTTCGACACGTTCTATTAGCAGAATAATATCAGTTGGGAAAAATAGTGTCTGTCTATCCATTGCCTATGTACGTAAATAAAGGAATAGCCAAAAAACAATTATATGTATAGACATATGGTCTACTAAAAGCGACTGTTATAGATGCATGCAAATTTCTCTCTGTTAAACATATACAATTTAAACTATTCAAAACGACCTTCAGTGTATGCAAGAACAGGACTGAAAAAAATGAAAATATCCTCGGACATGACCTTGTCAATTTTCTGTATAGGCGCACCACACAATAATACTTGAAAAGGTTGAATAGCTTTGATATACGGAAACATCTGTTTTCGCCAGACACTGATCAGCAAGAACTCGGCAAAGGCTCAGCAGATATTTCTTTTGCAACATCTCAACCAACATGTGGTCCAATTATCAACGGTATTTTCAAGTTTTGAACAACTTGACTTTCAAGATCTACGTATGTACATGAGCCGATGTTTCCATTTATAAACATTATATTTTAAGATCTGTGCAAGAACTCAGCTAACAGATGTTTCCGTATATCAAAGCTATTTACAATAGTAGATGATAATCATAGACGTAGTTGTAAAAAAGAATAGTTGTGTAAGTATAACCTAAAATTAACTGAATTATATAAAAAAAAACATTTAAATCCAACTAGTCTTATTCTGCCTACAAACAGTCCAAGAGTGAGTGAACTTCGAATGTCTACTACATTATGGAAGATACAAAGGTAAGATTAATCCTTGTTCAAAATTCTGTTCCCTTCACAGTTATATCTGATAACCAATAAATATACATTAATTACAACTAAAACGTGTTTCAAATTCACAGGTAATCATCCCCACTCACTCGTGGAACAACACGAGTCTTCATCATGTCTCTTCAGGAGAGACAAATCCTTTAAAAATCTCGTGCATATCCACTGGAAAATGACAGGTATATTGTGATTGTTCTATTTAATGATGAAGTGAAAATACACATTCGCCAACATCGAGTGGAAGTGCCAAGTTATACCCTACCAAAGAAGGTGTAAGATTTATGCATGTTGAATGTCAAGAATTTACACAATTGATCCCATCAGTGACTAGGGCCATACATTTGAAATACAGTGAGGACTTTGATCTGGATCATCGTAAACATGTTAGTGTGGTATGTGCCAAGTCAAAAAATGTGTCTTGTGCTTACAACCCAATATAATATTAACAATTATATATCAAGTCATATAACTTTTAAAAAAGTCCGAATAGTATCGGTTATATGAACAGGTGGATTTTATTGATTCGTATTCAAATCTAATAAAACAAACGGGATCAGAAACTACATCTAATAGCATCAATGATAACTTTAAAAAAATATTATTCGAAGTATACACTGAACACGTATCCCCTATCATACAAAAGCTTAGAAAGGAGAATTGTTGGGCTTGTGAAGTCGGTGATCCCAGTCAATATTCTTATACGTGCATGATGTTGGCTCATGACGAAGGTATCTAGCTATATCTGAGGTATGCTTTGACTAATAAGAACTAATAAGACTAATAAGAACATTATATTAGATGTGTTTCAAGACATAACTAGTAAAATAAATGTACATGATTGTAAGAATATAAATCCCATTGATTTTGTTGAAAGTGGTGAGCTTATTCAAGAACTATCAGACTTCCTCTGTAAAAATGTACAAGACTAAGTAACTATATTCTATATCAGTACGACAAACAATTTTCATGAGATTTCTTTTGCTTCATCATATGATCTACATACAAGAATATTATGATACAAGATTACTTTCTTCTACATAACGTAAATCACTCTGATCGTCAATTTTAAAAACATCTATTACTCTTCATACAATAAGGAAACAATGACAAAGAGAATCTGTAATGAGGTACTGTTGGTGTTCAGTGTTTTGACTTGTGTTAGTTCTAGATCGAAAACAAAATCTGGTAACTTAGAAAATAATTTCCTGTTGTAACATCAAATATCGAGAATTTCATGAATGTACATACACTTTTCTGTATCGTTATTTTATACAGTATCTCAGAAAGTTTCCATGATAATTATAAGGGCAAAGACTATAAATTGTTATAAACTGATTTTATGTAGAGGATAGATATATATATTTTCTTGTAGACCATACCTTATATCGTGATTTAGGTCATACCTACACAACTGATCTTTTTTTTAAAACCATGCCTATAATTATGGCAATTTATTCAAAACAATTCTGGTTTTGGATGAAAAATACAAGTTATAGATCAAAAACAGAAAGTAGTAACTTAAAAATTTATTTCATAATTTACCATCAAATATTGAGAATTTTATAAAAGCAAAGATTATAAATCGAATAAAATGATATAAAAAAGATAAACGTTAGAAAACGCGCCATCTGGTGTCACCTAGTATTGCACCCATCGCGATGCACCACTGGTGTTGCTGTTGTAATCCTATTATATCGTCTAACAACACGCCCCCTGGTGTTCACGGGTCACTGCTCTCGACATGTCAAAATTGGGTGAAGGTTTTTTTACTTCCGCCTCCCAGTGAGAGTCTCAACTACTGATGGTTCTTAGTTTTAAAAACTTTTAGAAAGAACACATTTTGTGGACAAATATTCGATTTTGTGTGGTTATGTAAAAATGAGAATTGGGTGAAATATCATAACATATATTTTGTCGAATTTCGACATGTTCTACAAATTGACATATTTAAGGTTATTTCCGTAAGTATATTAGGGAAGTATTACGGTAAAGGTTCAGTTCAACACGATGACTGCCGCTCATATATTAGTAACAGACATTTTAAAAACCATGTTAGAAACAGAAAGAACATATTTTTTCCAAAAATTATTCACATGCCACTCCAAGAAAAAAATTCCAGATTTTACATATCCGCTCATGCGCGAATACAACATCCTTTTGATTATATTTATAATTCTAATAAACTAACACAACTGTAGATTTTAATCTAGTCTTAAAGTGCTAAGAATTTTCAGAAAACTTCACAGAGTGGTACGACAGTGAAGGTAGAATATAAAATGTTCTAGTTATATTAAACATATTTGTTCCAACCTATCAAGACACGATGGTATATCGTGCGGTCAAAACAACCTGCTGCACGATTCAGTGTGTGATATTAACAGAAGAGATAGTTTAGCGATTTTTCACCTTCTTTATCTCAGACTGTGGTAATCCAAACTATTACATATCATCAATGGATGTGCTTTACAGGACTATTGCTTCTCGTACCAAATTTCAAGGCAATCCAATAAGAAATACCAGAGGTATAACATCTCCAATTTTGATTGAGTTTTCCTTTTTTTTCTTCGCACTAAGAGTATGGAAACTTTACTTGATAGAAATACAGTCAACTTTTATGGATTTTTGTCAAATTTGGTAGACTGATACATCTTTAACCTACAAATGAGTAAATACAAGCCACATGTGCAAATTATTCAACAAAAACCGCTCAAATTTCACGAAAGTTTTTACGCACGCCTACACAAAAAGTCACGTGAGCTATTGGCCTAACATTTTTATTACAGCTTCACCTAAGAGTAAAAATGAACTGTTTTTAGTTGTTGTTGTTTTGTTTTTTTTTTTTTTTTTTTTTTTTTATTTTTTTTAAATTATTATTACTACTAATAGTAGTAAGTTAGTAGTACGTTACGTTAGTTCGTACTTAAGTTGGTTCGTAGTAAGTTAA